TGGAAAGCTTCAAAAGCTTTCCAAAACATCATGGGAACGGGGCTCGCCTGCCATTCTGCAAATAGTGTGCCCTGTTATCACAATGCTTTGGAAGACCTCAGAAGCCCAACCCCAGCCCGCCACAAAAGCATGAGCAAAGGGGTTTCTTACGTGCAAAGGGCCAGGCCGGGCATTCCTCATCAACAGCAAGAAAATAGCAAAGGTCAGCTGGGGCAGTGGAGCACAGGGCGGCAGGGGTCTTGGAGTGCCAGGTGGTGAGGGCGACTATGGCTGGGACTGGGCTGGGGCAGCTGAGGCTTCCAGGGATGGCTGTGGTTTCATGCTGCGCTGTGGCTCAGGTTCTTCTTGCAACCCCAGAGCTGCAGCGCACCAAGAAGCCCCTGAGCTGCAGCGTGGCAAGCAGACTCAGAGCTGTGCAGTTCTGGGGCTGCTTGCCACCCCACAAAACAGGGTGCAGGGCAGCCAAAAGGGCAGAAATGGGGGGGCAATAAGTGGGTGGAAGGAGTTGGAGGCAGTCCCTTGCCTTACTAAGGCTCGGGGCTGGGAGGAACCCAGCCTGGAATGGCTTGGATTGGGATGGGTCCTTGGCTGACAACCAATGAAATTTGCTTAACGATGGCATCGGGGATTGCCAGGATTGCTGTCACTAAGCAATCAGGTCACATGATGTCCCACTTTATGACCACATCCCTTAGTGACAAAAATTCTGGTCCCAATTATGGTCGTAAGACTACCCGTAAATCATGCAGTGATGCTTTTATCCTGACATAAGTCAAAATTGGCCCACTGACATAGGGAAAGAAAGATATTTTAGAAGTAAGGGAATGGCTTCCAGTAACTGCATGCACATTTTGTGTAACCTGAGTAAACTCTGAAAGTTCACCAAGGATTGCTGTGTTTGCATTGAACCAATGAAACTACATTGTAATGTACAGCTATAAGCTATCTCTTGTGACTCTTCCCACCCTCCAGCGAATATCACCCTTATCTCAGTGTTTTACAACTTAATAGAAGGTGGTTATATTGGTTAATATATAACCAAACCTAAAGGGAAATTCATGGCTTTATTTACAATGTGGAAAAAATAAAATCCAAGCATGTACTGTTTTTGGTAGACATTAACTTCTCAATGCTGGTGTATATGTACCTGTGTGTGCTTTAAGATATACTATTTAGCTTAACTCAGTGCTAGCCTCTTTTTTAAAGTTGAAGCCAACTTTGCAGAAGAGTCTCTGAAATAAGGAAATACCATGGTAAGAATGGCAGACCAATACGGAGTTCTCCACAAACCATGTGCAATTTCAGGGTTAGCACAGAGGCACGTAGTGTTCCAAACATGAAATGAGTTTGATTCTAAGAGGCTGTTGCAACCAGAAGAAAAAAGTGGGAGGCAGAAAAATGATTCATATAGCTAAAACAGAAACTACTAAAGAAATTGGGAAATTCAGCCATTACTTGTTGTAACCTAGGAAACCAAGTGTGCCCGCAGAGGTTTCTGAAGGGGGGGGGGAAATCTTAATGTAATAAATAATCATACCAATTTACCAAGAGAGCAATGAATAGGTTGCATGTGTAATGATGCACGCTCAAAATTATCCAGCTCAGCCAAACATTTAAATAAAGGAGGAGGATGTCTCAGCATGAGTAGATAATATGGGGAGTGCCACTTGATTTTGTTATGTCAATCAATCCCAATTCCTATTAGTTATGACACTTCTCTGAGCTGCAAACCCATATCCAGTTGCCTGGGAGAAAGATTTATTGAACCCTGAAGGATATGCTTCTGAGTAGGCATTCATAGGACTGCACTGTGTTATTTTGTTGTGATGTTTTACTGAAGGAGAGAGTATAATGGTCATACTACAACTCCCTCGCCAAAACAAGAGGAAAGACATCATGCCTCAGCATTGCTCCCACAAGGACTGACCAAGCACCAAAAAAATCCTCATTTTTTAAAAAAAATATTTTATTTAGAATAATGAAATACAGAGGGGAAAAAGGTCTACACTGGAGAGTAACAGCTGAACACAAAACGAAACAAACTGCTAAACATAAATAAAAACATTATGCGAAGACTTTCCAGTAACACATTCTCCCCTCCCTTCCTTTAATTTCCAAACCATTGACCACAACCTAGTTATTTATACTGTACATTAAAGATTAAGGATTACTGCTAGTATCTATTTAAATCCTCTCTTCTGTTATTTTTCATTGGTCTCACAACTTTCTTCCTAAAAAAACACATTCCAAATGTAGTATATTCTGTACAGGAGCCATTCTTGCTTAAATTTAAACTTCCATTATGCATATATACTGTAAATTTTGCCACTGATATTCTCCAATTTTGGTTTCTCAATCTGATACTATGAGCAAGGTTCCTTTTTCCAATGTAGAGCCAAAATTGTTCTTGAAGCTGTCAGCATATATATTATGTTATTTTTTATTTATGTTTTCTTGCATTATGCCTGATAGAAATATTTGTGGTTTCAGTCAAATTTTATTTTTAGGATTTTCTGAATATTTTGATGTATTTCTTTTCAGTATTTTGGGGGTTTTCCCCCCAAAATTTATTTATTTTTTCCATAGCTCTTCCTGCTATTGTACTATGATTATTTCTTTGAAGTTTTGCATCCACTTTATCATACAAGTTTTTTTGTTCCACCTCCATAAAAAAAAAAGAAAATCTCCCTGCTTGACTATGTAAAAATATTCAACAAAAAATCTTAAGCAATCATTTTTAAACATCTGATTAAAACAGGATCATAATCTACAGTTTCTACTGAAAGTTTAGGCACCCCTGAATTGTATGTTTCACTGCATCCATAGAGAATCTGACACCACCTCTACATGATACAAAATTAAACACAAAATCTGTCTGCATATTTGAATACACACTTACTATTTATGTGTAGTTAAACATTGATTCAAAATAAGAAAACAGTGGGGGATTAAAAATTAGATGAAGATGTTGGGGAAAAGTTGATGTTGGGGAAAAGATGATAATTACTCGAAAAAAGGGCGGAAGGCACAATTACATGTTTTTTTTTCTTTTTTTTAAAAAAAATCTTTCTTATTTCTCTATTTATTTCCTATGTTCTTGTTTGTTTTGTATATTTTATTTCACTGAAATGTCTAATAAAAATATTTTAAAAAACAATAAAAAAAACTAAGTAAGAAAACAGGGAATATGGCAGATACAGAAGTTTGAACAGCCTTCCAGTTAATTCAGTGCTGCATTTTTATTCATTTATTCCTGTAAAGTTGTTAATAAGGCCAAAAAAGTGACTCACTTGTTAGGCCTGCAATTAGCCAGATAAAAACAATTCCATTGGTAAACAATTGTTGTGATCCTTCTAACCAGCCAGGTTGTGACTATTGTACTGTCTACTTTCAACAACTATGGGCTCCTCTAAGCAGCTGTCTAAGCGTTGGAAAATAAAGGTAGTTCACTCTACAAAGCAGAGAAAGGCCATAAAAAAAATCTCAAAATGCTTCCAACTAGTAATTTCAACTGTGAGATATATTATTATGAAACAGAAGTTACAGAGAACTGATGAAGTCAAGATAAGACAAGGTCAGAAGACCACGGAAAATCTCTGCTAGAACCAACCGATAATTGGTCAGATCTGCATGACCTGTCCCTGGAGTAGTTGTCTCAAATCCCCAGTACAGCATTGCTTATATAACAGTGATTTGCATGGGAAAGTTGTCAGAAGGAAGTCTTTTCTCCAGCCTCATCACAAAGGTCATGATCTAAAGTACGGAAGAGGAGGAGGAGGAGAGGAAAAACCTCAATAAACCTGAACTGTTTTGGAACAGAGTGGTTTGAACTGATCCAACAAAAATTGAGCTGTTCACATATTTGGAGAAAAAAACAACTTGGCAACCATTAAGCCCAAGGATGGACCTATTATGCTTTGAAGTGGTCACTGGTGACGTAAGAAATACTGTGCAGGTAGAAGGAAGAAAGGATTCAAGTAAACATCCTAGAAGTGAATGTCCCAAAGACAGTGAAGAAATTGAGGCTGAAAAGAGACTGGCTATTTCAGCAAGACAATAATCCAAAACATACCTAAAAATCAACCAAAATGTACTTATAGGAAAGAAAAACTTGTTGAAATGGCCTTCATAGTCCCTAGACCTCAATATTATTGCAAATCTTTGGGGAAATCTCAAACATGCAACGCTTGCAAACAGACCTGAGCATATTTCTGAGTTAGAATCATTCTATAAGGAAGAGTGGGGAAAAAATTCCATGCACAAGAACAGAAAGACTCTTGGCTGGTTACAGGAAACAACTGGAAGTTATTTCTTTCAAAGGAGGGATTACAAAGTACTTGCTCAAGTGGCATCCAAATTTCTATGACTGCCATATTCACATACAATTTGATCCTTAACTTTTCCATTCAACTATATGAATTAATGCCATCTATTCTCACAAATTAATAGTATAGCATAGCATATAGACTATGCTATAATAGTCATAATAGCAGTATGAGAGATAGGGAAGTCAAATGCATGCAAACGTATCAGCAACTTACCGGTGATATTGTTAGTCGAAGTATTGCTCCATTTTTAATTTCATTACGATTCTAGAAAAGAAAATCCCAAAGTTAAATACTGATATAATTTGGTCACTCTTATGTATATGTTAAGAATAAAAAGTGTAAGATAGATTAAACCGAAAGAAAATAGATCTCCATCTTCAGCTTTTTCTGGAAGGCAGAAAATGTTCCAGATAAATGCTCCATCACTGGAAAACAGCACTTCTGGACTTCAGCTCCCCTAGCCTCCTGAAAATGGAGAACAACCAGCTGCTTCTCCCCGCATGAACTGAGTGGTCGGGCTGACTCTAGGGGACAGATGCAGTCCTGCAGAAAACCAGGTGCCAAGACATAAAGGGCTTTATACAGTAAGTGAACAGCAGCACTTTAAAGTGCACTTGGAGGTTAATAGAAAGCTAATGCAGGACCTGCAGAACAAATATAATATGTGCCCAACAGTCAACTCCCGTGAGCATCCAAGCACTGAAGCTTCCAGTTGGTCTTTAAAGGCAGCTCCATGAACAGTATGTTGCAGTAGTCTAAACAGATGGTGATGAGGGTTTGAACCCATGTAATCAAGTCCTCCTGCTTCAAGTAGGATCACAATTGGCACACCAGTCAAAGCTGAGTAAAGGGCCCCCTGGCCACAGCTTCCACCGCTGATCTAGCAGGAGCTGCAAGTCCAAGACAACCTCCAAGTCAGAGACCTATTCCTTCAGGGAACAGTACCATCCTGTTCAGAGACAAAAAGAGGTAATAGAGCACCCCAATGTACAAATAGTAACTCCATCTTGCTAGAGTTTACTTTAAGCCTGTTCTCTCATCCATACCTACACAGCCTCCAGGCACTAGGGCAGGATTTCAACAGCATCTCTGGCCTGGCTCATGGTAACAATATATAATTGGGTATCAGTAGCATATTAATGATACCAGATCTGAAACCACTGGATGACCTCCCACAGCCAGGGGGAAAGCACTGTCCTCTGGGGTACACCACGAGGGAGCAACAATAGGGCTGATCTCTCCCCCTCTTCCCCAGCTATCACCAACTAGAACCAACCTTTGAGAAAGGAGCAGAATCACTGCAAAATAGTGCTTCCAATCTCCAATCACCAGTCAATCCAAAAGGATACTATGGTTGATGGTACTGAAGGCTGTTGAAAGGTCCAAAAGGATCAAAAGAGGTGTACTATCCCTGTTCAGGTCTCAACATAGGTCATCAACCAAAGCAATCAATACCATATCTGGCCTGGGCCTGGGCCTGAACTCTGACTGACAACTAGAATGATTCTGCAGTAGTTAACGGGCATTTCCTACTGAATAGGAAAATTAATGTGTAGACTGCTGTTTTTTAGCAGCAGCTACAATGTATTTGTTAAGCTTAGTCATATTTTACTTAATTGCATTCGGACTTTGCCTCAGTATTCAGGGTGGAGCCCTTTGATTAATGGGATCAATTATAGTTAACTTTTTTTCCTGGTGCATAAAGTTTTATGGCCATAGTTAATACTCATTTTTACTTTCCTCAATACACACAAGAAACCCTTTTAATTAACTCCACAGCTTATAAGACTAAAGCCTTCCCAACAAAGCCTTGAGCCTTTAAACTGAAGATGAAAACAATAAATCAAGTGTTTCCTCATTGCTAGAATGGATGGGTAAGCAGGTATTCAAAGAAGGATTGCACCCCATCCCATCTTCTCTGGCAAACTTCTTCTTCTTGGCCCTAAAGCAATGGTATGCCAACAAGCTGTCACCTGATGCCAGGATAACTGATTAGCTGGACATCAAGTGAAAAGAGGCAAGAGTCCCAGAAGAAAGAATACATGAAACCTGGATGCAGACTGGGCTGACCACTCAAGTAATAATCTACGGGATTTGGCTGAGGAATTCTAAGTTTAGCTGTGTCTGGGTGCAGCAACTGTTTAGCCAGGATACACACAATAAATAGTCTGTATGTCATCTCAGCAGCTGAAAACACTAAGCTAGATGGACAATCCGGGTGACTCTGTATAAGAAAGCTTCCTGTATTCCTAAGGTGCTTGTATACAGCTGGCTCTTAGCACTAACAAATTGTTGGGTCACAATCTAAGGCAGAATGAAAATGAACTGTTCATATTAGAACAGATAGCATTTTCTATCTAGATACCCCACTATGTTTGATCCACATTTCAACTATTCTTGACCATAAAAAATGGCAACAATTCCAAAGCTAATGTTGAATGTGTGCTGTGCAGTGACCTAAGACAGATAGACAGCGACCTAAGCGAGCCGGTGAACCTATGACAAATTCATGCCTCTTGAAAAAAGGGAAAAGTATACTTCAGGCATCTGTACTTCACACTTTATGAAATTTTATTCTGCCCCCCATCCATCCAAGAAAAGTTAGATTGGCTGGAGGACTGTGGAGGACTGAGTTGCAGCTTTTTCCCTGACAATCAACTGAAAGGCTGCATCTGACGCATGACAGTGAAACAGCTTCCTTTTCTGTCAGTGCTAGGAAGATACAGGTTAGCATGAAGACATGTCTATTTTGATTCATTTTGAAATTACACTTGTGTTTGAAACCAGCACCATTCATACATTCCAATATTTCATTATCTACCCATAAGGTTATAAATGAATAAGTGATGTATTCTATCCTTTGAAAAAAATGACATGGGGAAAGTTGCCTTAATTTTTCTGATTCCTGAAAAGCAAAATGAAAGGATCTAGCTTCAATCCTTTCAAATATAAATTCATGTGTTTCTCAGTTTTGCATCAACTTCCAGTTTCCAAACTCAAGTTTAAACTCCACATCCTACGTCAAAGCTATCAGTAAATTGCCTTATGAAACCTGATTCTATGCTGACGTCATATAGTTCAGGAGTTTGTAGGCTGCTGAAACCCATCATTAAGCATCTGTAACACTGCAATGTTTTCCCCGGGTGTAGAGTTTTCCATAACTGCAATATGCAATCTCAAAACCACTGGAACCAGCCACTGAGATCTGACACCAGAATTTTGCCTCTTAAGCAAAACACATGGATACTAATATAGACATGACAGTATGTCTTTAAGCAGCCAAGTACACTATCTCACACTTAGAAAATAAGAAAAAACACAAGCAAAGTATTACATAATTTCATTAAAATACAGATCACGACATATGTGATAATTCTCTCCCATGATTCAGTCAAATTTGGTCACCCTGGGACACTTAACTGACTAGCATCATATTATCATAACGTTTGAAAAACTTTGGTCTAAATTATGTAATTCATTCCTAGAAAAATCAAGAGTAGTCTGAGATATTTTCTCCTTGCCTTTGAGAAATAATCAAACGATGTGTCTTACCCTGGCATTCCCTTGGGAAATTTTACTCATACCCTGACACGTGTTCCCAATCTGGGAATACATATAAGCCAAAACAAACAGCTAATTTATTGCTCAACTGATTAGTGCATTATAATGTTGGAGAGAAGAGAAAGAGGCCAAAGATTATCTTGTTAAGTACTGAATATTTTTATAAACACGAAATACTGGAAGCCAGGCAGATAGGACATATGGACACAAACTGCATGATTCATTTTAGATCCTGACTTACTGTTTTTAAACCCTTCTCAAACTGATTTGGAAGCCTCCTGACTTGTCTTGAAGCCCACACTTGAATTTCAGTTTGAAATTTTCCATTTTGCCTATCAACGTTTTGTGGAAATCAACAAAAAATGAAATTAAATGTTCAGGACTATTATCACTTAGAAGGAGATGAAAAATTTCATATGGAAGGGACTCAGTATACAGAAGGCTATTTTAAATTTTGTAAGATAATCATGTCTCCCACACTCCATATGAATAGCTAGAAAGGATGTTGTTCAGGAATAGCCTTCCTAGTTCAGGGATTTCCGAAAGAGAAGAGAAGAAGAAATTTGACCCCAAGTATTGATTAACAAATAGTTATAAAGATGATGCAGCAAAAAGAAAGTACTCACTAAGAACTCTGCAAAAAATGACAAGGCTAGTAGCGGCAATTTATGTGCAAGTGGTGTCTTCAAATTCTGGAAGAAAAACAGTGATTTGCTTTTCCTTCCCCCCTTTTTTGGGGGGCAGCTGGTTTAGTTTTTTTGGCAAACTTCATTTTTAATGTCCTTAGGCCATTAAGAATCCCTGCAAAATTGCAAATGAATGAATGGAGGAACTAAGGAGTTATAAGGAATGAGATAAGAAATGAAAACTAATTTAATTAAAACTTGTTCGTTTCCCCCTCAATTGATATCTAAGTCACAAAAAGGACAACAGAACAGAAGTGATATACGTGCATGAAATTATATGTACAGCAGAAGGATGTAAATATCCAGCATTTTTCAATCAAACATCAATGAAAGACTTATGTGCTTAAGCCCTCTGAAGCAGGGATGAGAAGAAGACAGATCAGGATCTACCAGTAGTTTCCTAGGTAACCAGAAACAGATCACAAGAATTCTGACAATCAATTATTTAATGATGGAAGCAAATTATTCCTCCCTTTCCTTACTTAATTTGATTCCTTAAATGAAAAAGTGGGGAATGACTAAGGATAGATATTTTTCTGGAAAATCTGGCAGCTCATCTCAGTTCTAGTAATCAAACAATATATGGATGGATTTAGAATTCTTTAACTGAAAAAAAGTATATTTTGCACCAACTGGTGAATCTCAGTTCTAGTACAGACAAAACAGGACATAATTTAAAAGAAAATCAAGAAATATGCTGCAAGCCTGAAATTTGCCAATCTTGATTCTAAAGAGCTGCAGAGATGCAATACAGGCATAAATGATGGCATAGGTCTTGTTCAATTACAATCAGAACGGTCACAACAAAGACTGAAAGTGTCTTGTGTTGATAGAGGCAGGCATTTCCTATGCATGTCCTTGGAATTAATCCAAAGCATCAGCTTTCTAAATGGGAAATATCTGCTTTCCAATTAAAAATCCAATTTTGTTTTTCCATTCCTAAACAATTACTTAACAGTCTGCTAGGAAACAGTTTATACGTTAACAATTAAACCCAAGGCATGTTCTCCTTTAAAC